ATATTGATATATATACTATTTTATATTACATGTATCGATCGCTTTTTTAGTTAATTCATTCGCTTTCTTTGTGTATATGCTTCTATTGCTTTCGATTTCGATTCGCGCTTTAACTACAATAAAAACAAGCTAAAATTACACTTAAACAAAAAATGCTGAAATTATCGATAAATATTTGCACTTTTTTTTCGTTAAAATATATATATATTTCGAGGTTATGCTCAGCATTTGTTTAACATTTGTTTTCCATTGTATATTTACCCAAATCTTCTTGAAATCAATATCGATTTTCGAGTTGTAATTTTTCGATAACACATCAAAAGCTGAGTACTGAATATTACTTGAACATAAGCTATGTCGTGCTGTGTTGATTAAGAACTGTCAGACATAGACTCAACTCACTGCCAAGCGTATCAGAGAGATGCGATTAACAGATGTTAATGCACAGTTCAAGATTTCAGAATTACATAAATAGCTCTATGAACGTTTTTCGTTACCTTTCTGTTCATTTGTTGCTGTTGTTAAGAAACGAACTAAATATGGCGTTTAGTTGAACTACATTAAATATTTCATTTTGTGCTTAGTTTAATAATCATTTACATACATACGAATGCGCATACATATACATATAGCTGTATTTATATAAATAGGTTTTTTTTTAATAATAATAATGTATATATCCTTTACTAACTCTAATACTGTTCCTCTCTTTCGCTCTACATAAAGTTCATATATATTAAATATGGAACAATAAAACACAATTAGCAACAATTATAATTCTGTATTTAACTGAGACAGCGTGAGAGCTAGTTAGCTAAAGTGAAATAGAGAGAAAGGCTATGTATATGTATGCATTTAATTTAATCGCAACAATTTAGTTCTAAGATAATTTCTCTTTTAATATTTATAATTTATCGAAAGCAAACAATTGCTGAGTATATTTAATATACGACATTGTATGTGTGTGTATATGTATGTGTGAGACTGTGTGTGTGTTTGGCAGTAAAACCATCGATCAGTATAAGATATCAACAAATTCAGGCTTACATATTTGCAAGTCAAACACAAACAAAAAAAAACATGTTATCGATAGTTTTGTGCCTACTCTTGCGCACGGAATGTCAGGAAATGCATATGCAATAAATAAACAACAACAAACAGAAACAACAAATTCCTCCCATTCAAAATAAAAAACAAACTTTTTGGATGTTTGGACAAATATTTAGGCAATAAATTTAGTCACCACACACACATACATACATAGCTGTGCATGTATGTGTGAAGGCGTGTACACACACATGAGACACATATTCATATATACAAAAAAAAGAGAGGATTTATATAAAAGCACAAAATGAGTGGAAGAAGAATAGGAATGTGAGCGTTCATAAATAACATATAAATATATATATGTATGTAAATGGGGTGCTTGGTTGGTTGGCTGATTGATGATGAGAGAAGGAAATTGGAAAGGAGAAAGCAGCAAACGCAGACGCAAACGCAGCGCACCCACTTGTGCTTTATTGTTACTGTGGTTGCGTATGCGTGTGTCTTTGTTTTTCATTTATTTTTGTTGCTTTCTGTTGCTTTTTCGTTATTGCGCTTGTTCGCTTGCACGCATGCTTGTTAGGCTAGCTCTCTGGCTTGCGCTCGCACTCGCGCTTGCACTTGCACTTGTTGCACAATTTTGCTTTACTTGAACCGTGTGGCAAAGACATTGGAGAGTTCATTCATGGCCGCCTGGCCAACAGCCTGATTCACTTGTCCACGCATGCTCTCCGGGATGTAGCGATTGGCGCCCGCCTGCTGTGTAATGGCACCGCCGACAGCTCCAGTAACGCGACTTGAAAGTTGGAAAAGCGGATTTTGTACTCTTGCTGTTGCTTGCGTATTTTTTTATTTATTTTTTTGTTTGTTCTTTTGTTTTTGTTTTTTCTTTTTTGCGAGAGAAACACAAATTCTAAACTAAAGAGGCGCTTGGCTATGAGATCAAACATGTATCGGAACGCTTGAAACCCCTTTTTATCGATTTGTCTGTTTCGCTGCTTCGGGCGCTGTGATGTGTGTGTGTGTGTGTAGGTGTGTGGGAGTGTGTGTGTAGGTGTAATGTTTATTTGATTTAATCACAAATTATAAAGGATATTAAAGAAACAAAAATGAATGAAACTCCGTTAAGGCAACAACAAACCATAGCAAGAACAAAAGGCAAAATACACATAAATATAAGATAAACACACACACATATGTATATACATATGGTCATATATGTACACAAGCAGAGCTGAGCAAACATATGGAAAGGAAACAACACATAATAGAATAGTAACTATGTTAATAAATTAAAGCAAATGAAAGCAAACACAATTTTAACAAAAAACCAACAGGAGTTGTTATGCAATAAACAGCTGCCACATGCCGCGCTTGTCAACACTGTACCACACGCCATCCCATAAGAGACACAAGTCCACTACGGCAAACATAGCTTAGAGCACATAACGGAAACGGAACTCTAAGCCACAGGCTTTCGAAATGAAGTCTGACTGTGAGCTGTGAGAGTGTAAAAAGGAGCGAGTGAGAGAGAAAGGGAAGCTAATTGGAAGCAATGACTGACCACAGTGCCAGCCAAAATAATCGAACATGTCTTGTCAGTCTGTTGATATATGTATGTATATATATAAATATATATGTATATTTGTATATAATGTATATCTTTTTTCATTCTTGCGTTTTTTTATGCTTTAGTTTTATATAACGACAACAACAACAACACAAAAAGGTACTTTAGTTAACTTAAGCATATATTTTTCCATTTACTTTTCATAACGTATATTTCATATGTTTGTATATATGTATATGTGTGTGTATGTGTATGTGAACATATGTGTGCACACTGCCCTCTCTTAACAATGGGAATTCTCAAGGCTCTGCTCTCTAGGATATTTTTTTCAAGTTTTATTTAACAACACTAATGAGGAAATCTAAACAGCGTTTACACTTCTGATAGATATTTCTCTTATATCATCGCTATATATGCATATATTTATATAAATATTCTGTGCTTGATACTTAAATTTTGTGTTAAATGTGTATACATATACATATGTATACCGATATTCATATATACACATATATATATGCATATATTTATTACTAAAATAAATTATAAACAAACAAACAGATATTTTATATAAATA